TCTATTAATTTTTCAGAAATTTGATTTAAATTTACTATAAATTCGTCTACATCATCATTACCATCAATATAGTCATCACTACTATCAATATAGTCATCATTATCTAAAATATTACTTTCTATTTCATTTAATTTTTGTGATTTTTTTTCATTTTGTTTTGATATTAGATTTATATACCAAGATACCTGCGCCATTTTTGCAGCCCGTATTGGTGATAACCTGTTACGACGTTCTGTATGTATATTGTCTAATAAAGACCATACTCGTTCAGAAGTTGCTGAATTAGGTGGAATTAATAAAAGATGGCATGCAAATTCACTTAAATTTGGAGCCACATTTAACATAGTGTGCCAATATCTTAATGGAAAATCTTGTAAAACTTGGGTTTTTGATAGATGATGCAGAAAACGGACCCTCGTGATTTGAGTAATATAACCATTCATCAATAAATTTGTCTTGATTATAATCTGGATAAAAAGTACAAAATAAGCCGTATGCAGCTTCTTGAATGTATAGAAGCCATGCTGGATTTAATCCTTCACCGTGATGATATGGATGAAGAAACCAGGTAATTAAATAAACTGGATTGAATATTTTTTGCCAACGATTATCAATTTCTATAATTAAAGAATTCTGAAAATCGTTATTAGTAAATAAGCTTTTGTTAATAACTCTACGAAGCCACGCCCATGACGCAGCCACCTGACCCAATGTTGCCTTTTCTGTTTCAAGAATTTTTATAACATAATCATACGGTTTTAACAACTCATAAAACAATTCAAGTCTTGACCATAATTCATTATCATTAATAATATCGCTTAGGGTGTTGCTTTCTTGTGAACATGATATTAAATAGGATGTATGAATAAGTGCAATAACCTAAAAACAAATACATTATGTATATATTAATTGAATGAGACTACACATATATTATTTTAAATTATATACGTATACATATACGTACTTTTAAATTGGTTTTAATTTCTAATATAGTTTCTGCTGATTTTGTAAATGTTGTTCAACGGGTAATACATGGATATTGAGGTTTTAATGTTGCATTACTAGCCAATTCTCTTAATTTAGATAATGCGCGATTGGAATTTCGAAAATGATTAATAATTACTAGCATTTTTTTAATAACTGGTGTGAAAAATGTTGATTCGACTATTTTTTTGACTAATAAGTTGGTTTGATGTGCCATACACGGGATTGTTAAAACTTTGCCACCTATA